ATGTCTCGGCATCCGAAAGCGCAGAGGAACAGAAACTCCAGGTGACGATTGACACATCGAAGCTGTGTGCAACTTGTTATATCGGCGAAGAGCTGAGCGAGCAGGGCATTCAGACAGACGATGTGTGTTGTTCTGAGGGTGGGCGCGATGCACAGTTGCAGACCTTGGAAGAGCAGCTCGTAGATGTCAAAGGCATTTTGTCACCATCCGTGTCGACGTGCTCAGCCAGCCGCAGCCAGCTGGAAATGAACGACATCGTGGACTAGCTGGAGCGATAGGCAGCGGGGTGGCCAGCCACCAAGGGGAGCCTGAGCCAGACAGCGGCCTTGCCAGCCACAGGGAAGAGCCCCTCGAGCCAGGCACGGGCTTGGCCAGCCGCCAGGAGAAGCCCCTCGAGCCAGGCACGGGCCTGGCCAGCCACACGGGGGAGCTCTACGAGCTGGGCAGCGGCCTGGCCAGCCACAAGGGGGGAGCCCTCGAGCCAGGCAGCGGCTTGGCCAGCCACAAAGGGGAGCCCCTCGAGCCAGGCAGCGGTTTGGCCAGCCACAAGGAGGAGCCCCTCGAGCCAGGCACGGGCCTGGCCCGCCACGAAGAGGAGCTCCTGGAGCCAGGCAGCGGCCTGGCCAGCCACAGGGAAAAGCCCTTCGAGCCAGAGAGGCTGGAGGCCATCTCCTTGCTTCGACCCATCCCCGAGCCCCTCGCGATGGCCAGACCACCGCCAACTTGTATCAGGCACTGCGGGTCCTGCGGTTCCAAGACGAAGGTGATTAGAAGATTGCATAGGGATTAGCCCATCCCGCGCTGTGCGCGCGCAGTCTTCAACAGCAAGGGCCGGGGAGGTTCACATGGGAGAGGGGCGGGGAGGTGGGGCTCGATCTGACCGAGGCACCGCCCAGGGAGGTGGGCTTCGCGGGTCCAGCCGTGCGCTGGCGAGGACCAACCGCGCGCTGGGACGCAAGCCTGCGCCGGGGGCAAGCCGCCTCCAGGCTGTTCTTGTCCTTTCTCGGGCACCGTCTGGGCTTGGGACACATCCGCGAAACCGAGGAGGAGGAGGAGGAGGAGGAGGAGGAGGAGGAGGAGGAGGAGGAGGAGGAGGGATGAGGAGGGGGGTGAAGGAGGATGAGGGGGAGGAGGTAGGAGGGAGTGAGATGTGAGGAGAAGGGGAACGGAGGGAGGGGCCGATTGAGGAGGAGGAGGAGGAAGGAGGAGGGGAGTGAGGAGTAGGATGAGGAAGGGGGGGGGAAGAGGGCCACTCTCACCCTCCCGAAAAAAAATCGAAAAATAATCGTCACATAAAAAAATCCCGAACGTCGGCTCCCCAATGATTCCGGCCCGGATGGGGTGGGGCCCTCCGAGGGCCCCCCCGCCCGATTGGCCCGATGGGGCCGGCGACAAGAGAAGAGCAGTCTCATTTCCCTACGACCCCCCTCCCCCCCTCGCCCCCCCCCCTCCCCCCCCCCCCCAGCCCAGCGAGCCCGCTTTCTTTCTCGGAGAGCTCCCTCCCCTCTCCCGGAGGAGGGCCAGCGGAGGCAAGGCGGACTTTCACGTTCGGCCCACAGTTCATGGCGCCAGCATCGCCGAGCGGACCTCTCTCGGAAAACGATGAGGTGGGCCTGGAGTGTCCTGGGGAATTTCGCTCCGTATGTCGAGTTGATTTTCGCGCGGGTTCTTGTGCAGGGAATGAAGACCAAGCAAAATCCGCGCGAAATTCGTTTCGTGTTGCACTCGACGTTTCGGGTTCTGCATTGACAGAAATCCACCCAAAAATCCGCTGCAGCACGTCTGCAAGGTCGGTGCAGCGACGCAGCCGCTCACAATTTGTACCCGGGCCTTCCAGGAGTCCATTTTGATCCAGTTTTCGAAACGGATCCAGCCGTGGCGACGAGAAGCCTCCAGGAAGGCGCACCACCTCTTGGGTGGGCGGCCGGGCCATCATCGTCGTCGTCATTATCCTCCTCCTCTTCCTCCTCCTCCTCATCATCATCATCATCACAATCATCATCATCATTATCATCATCATCATCATCACCATCATCATCAGCATCATCATCATCATCATCATCATCATCATCATCATCATCATCATCATCTTTCTAACAATACTGCTCCTCCTCATCATCATCATATTAATCCTCTTCCGCCTCCTCCTCATCCCTCTTTTCCTCTTCCTCCTCTTTCTCCTCCTCTTTCTCCTCCTCCTCCTACTCCTACTCCTCCTTCTCCTCCTCCTCCTCCTCCTCCTCCTCCTCCTCCTCCTCCTCCTCCTCCTCCTCCTCCTCCGTTACCTCGACTGGCCCTTCTCCGACTCTCGCCACCGCTTTGCGCGCGCCGCCGAAGAGGGCCCGCAAGTTCGTGCCCAAGGACTCGGATCGAGAGGGCCATACCGTCGGCGACCTCGCTCCCGACGACGCGTTCCACGAGGAGTACCACGGCAAGCAGGAGGCCTCCAAAGGCACTTTGGGGTCCTCCTCACGCCTCCTCAAGCCTCCTCCTCCTCCTCCTCCTCCTCCTCCTCCTCCGCCTCCTCCTTCCTGCTCCTCTCCTGCTCCTCCTCTCCTCCTCCTCTCCTCCTCCTCCTCCTCCTCCTCCTCCTCCTCCTCCCCTCCTCCTCCTCCACCTTTCACGCCTCTCTTTGTGCTTATCCATCCTCTCCTTGTCCTCCTCTCCTCATCCTCCCTTTTCCCCCCCCTTCCCCCCCCCTTTTTTTCTTTCCCTTTTTCCCCTTTTTTTCCATTCCGCCTCATCCTCCCCTGCTTCTCCTCCTCCGTCCTTCTCCTCCTCCTTCTCCTCCTCTCTCCTCCCCTCCTCCTCCTGCTCCTCCTTCTCCTGCTCATCCTCCTCCTCCTCCTCCTCCTCCTCCTCCTCCTTCCTCCTCTCCTCCTCCTCCTCTCCTCCTCCTCCTCCTCTCCTCCTCTCCTCCTCCTCCTCCTCTCCTCTCCTCGTCCTCCCTCCGCTTCCGCCTCCGCCTCCGCCTCCTCCTCCTCCTCCGCCTCCTCCTCCTCGCCTCCTCCTCTTCCTCATCCTCATCCTCCTCCTCCCTCCTCCTCCTCATCCTCTCCTTGTCCCTTTCACCTTTCTCCATTTGTTCTCATCCTCCTCCTCCTCCTCCTCCTCTCCTCCTCCTCCTCCTCCTCCTCCCCCCTCCTCCCTCCCCCTCCTCCTCCCACCTCGCCTCTCTCCTCCTCCTCCTCCTCCTCCTCCTCCTCTCCTTCTATCCTCCTCCTCCTCCTCCTCCTCTCCTTGTCCCTTTATCTTTCTCCTTTGTTTCTCCTCCTCCTCCTCCTCCTCCTCCTCCTCCTCCTCCTCCTCCTTCTAGTACCATTTGGCTTGAAGCCGCCGCCGCTGGGTGCTCGCGCTACCTTCGTCGCCCGATGCCTGGCACCGTGGAGATGGAGGCCCGCCGCGCGAAGGCGTCGCGCGAGGCCGCGCGCGGCGCGGTCCTCGCGACGCACGCCGCGGCTGGGCTGTCGGGCGGCAGCCACGAGGCGCAGCGCTGGGCGCGGGCCGCCGAGGGCATGCTGCAGGCCGCGCTGGCGGCCCTCGCGGCGCCGCCCGAACCCCCCCTCGGCCGCGCAGGCGCAGGAGGCACCCGCTGCTGCCCCTCGGCGGCGGCGGCGTCCTCGCGGGCGCGGCGGCGCGGCGCGGCGGGCCTTGGCGCGCCCGCGCGGGGGGGACGCCAACTCGGACGAGCAGGTGGCCGACGTCGGGGCGGAGGGGGGCGTGGCGATGGCGCGCGTCGAGGCTCCCGACCCGCTGCCGCCTGAGAACTGGGCGGACGACCTGCCAGTGGTGCTGCGCGGACGCCTGGCGGGCGGCACCTGCCGCGGTGGTGGCAAGGACAAGGGCTCGGGCAAGGGGGGCGCGGGCACAGGGCAGCGGCATGGAGTTGGGCAGGCTCCGCCATGAGGCCTTCTGCCTGGTGGAGCGCTCCGGCGGGAGAGCCTTCCGCACGACGTCGTCGACGTCGTTGAGCTTCGCCGCGTCGTCGAGCGCCTGGGCGCCCCTCTTCGGCGAGGCGGGCGAACGCGCGCTGGCGGTGGCGGCCCGGGGCCCGGGGCGGCTCGCAGGAGGGGGCGGGGGGGTGGGGCGGTAGAGGGGCCTGTGCGCATAGCGCTCGGGCGCCGCCAGCCCCTCCCCTCCTGCACATGTCAGGGGCGAAAAAAGGACGCACACGTACCTGAACCCACGCTGGTTTCGAGCGCACGCATGACGCGATCTCTCCCGCCTCGCGGGCGGGCCTCGCGCACTGGGGGGCCGTGCTCGCGTGCGCGGATGGGCGCGCGCGCCCTTCAGGGTCTCCCCGGTGCCTCGCCGGCGTCTGCGAGCCCGGCGACCCGCAGCGATCCGTGGGCGACGGCCTCGGCGTCGCTCAGGAGGGAAAAAGCACACTGACACAATTCATCGTCGATTCCCCAGAAAAGATGGAAAAACATGGGGGGTGTGGGGGGGAAGATAAAAACCCCGAACATATTGGAAAATATGGGGGATCCTGTTATTTGTGTCTATTTATTTAATCGCTTCGCTCATTCCGCCGGCCCTTGAGCGCTCGCTATTAGGGGCCTCTTGGGGCCGTCTTGGGGGTTTCTTGGGGGCTTCTCGGGAGCGTCTTGGGGCTCCTTGGCGGCGTATTGGGCTCCCCCGGGGCCTCTTGGGGGGCTCTTGAGGCCCCTTGGGGCGGGAGGGGGGGTAGTCGTTGGCGCCCCCCCCCTCGGAGGCCACGATCCTCGTGTGGGGTGGCGACAAATAGCCTCCCCCCTGGGGATCGCACGGGGATCAGCCGGGGATCGGCCGGGGTACTTTTCGTCCGGGGCCCCCCAGGGGCCGCCCCGCGCGCGCGAACTAGAAATATTGTTAAGTAGTTACCGGGGATCTTAGCACGCCTCTGGCCCGCTGGGCCGGCAAATTGGTGTGTCCCAAGGCCCCTTCAGTCGCGTCCGCGGTGGGGGGGCGGTGGCCAGGTCCCCCGTGCAGGGCCCGCCGCCGCGAGAGGGGGCTCGCGG